GTGATGAGTGTGCGCCTCTTGTAATGCAGACCTCAACTGATAAGAGACGCCTCAACTGAGTGTGCAACATGTACAGCGGACCTCAACTGATAAGAGACAGACACATGGATGGATGTATGGATGGCAAATGCGCCCACCCAGATCATCCAGCGAATACAAGGAGACACAGAGACTCACAAGGAGACACTTGCGAGACTCAGGAGCATCACAACAGCCGTCACGCAAGTGCTCCATCGATCGATCGATCGATCACAAGTAAGTCGCGTGTCAGGTCATTCCTTCCTTCCCTGTCAGGCACACTCTCATTGGTCCATGTACATGTGTGTGCTCATGGTCAACAAGTGATCGGTCACGCCGCAGGGAACAGCGGGCCCTCACCTGCACGCAATCACACACGCACACATCCGCCGGGTGATCGGCATTCGTGAGCGGCGTCGTATGTGTGTCTCATGTCTTAAGTACTCACTTGTGGCCGGTGGAGCCGGGAAGAGCTGGAAGTGCGTGATCTAAAGACACACGGACAGGACACACACACACACACACACACGTGTTCCGTCCCATTTTCCCACATTTTGCACCCGATTCTGGTGACCTTGTGCAGTGTGTCCTGTGACGGGCTGAAGACGCCAAGCAGGCCAGCGGGAACGTCGACGTCCGTCAGGCCCATGAGCTTCGCCCCGTCGAGGAGGACGGAGAAGCAGTTGTCCTTGATGGACAATGTGAACTTGAGAGACCGGGAGGACGTCGGACCCACCAACACGCGAGACAGCACCACACATCCTCCATTGAGACACCTGCAAGCACACCACCTTCCATCTCTCCCTCTCTGTCTCTCTCTATCTGCGTGTGTGTTGGGGCTTACTTGACGATTCTTGCTGCTCCCTCTTGGTCGATGTCGAAGTAGAGGTGGTTGAGAGGGTTGACGTACCTCAGCAGCACTCCAAACCGGCCGCTCACCTTGCCCGGTTGCCTCAAGCACACATCCACCTCGGCATCCTGCATGCAGGCAGGCAGGCAATTGTGTGTGCATTGCAGTCTGGGTGTGTCGGGTGTGCCGATGCCACTTACAGTGCACAGGCTGTTTTTCGTCAGCAGTGTAGCTCCAGGCAGATCGCCGTCCGGCGACTCCACTTGGAATGCCGTGCCGGTCCGCACAAACATCATGTCAGACGGTGAACTGCACGGAGACACAAAGAGACGCATTCACACAGGTGCAAGCATCTGCCTTGTGACCCTCATCGACTCAATCAGCCACTGACCTTTCAGCGAACATGGCCTCGGCGCATCGAGCTTGGTTTGGTGGGGCACAGCTGCCGAGGCTCACGTCGACAGGCTGACAGGTTGTTGGGCTGCCGGTGCTGTCCCACTCGTACCCGCTGATGCCCATACCCACTCTCATGATGCCAGTTGGCTTTCCCAGTGCGGCAGCCGCTTGCTCGCACAGGGTGAGGGGGCCCTGTGTCTTCTCATGCTTGTCGACTGTTGCCTTGGCTGGGCATGTGGAGGGGCATGTGACGAGGGCCGGCAGGGACACAGTGGGAGGGGCCGTGAGGTCATCGCACGACGCAGCGGCGAAGGGCAGTGCAGTGAGGTAGACATACGGCTGCTTGGCGGGGAGGGCCGGCTGAGCGGGCACTGTGGGCAGCACGAGGGAGCCGCAGTAGTAAGGCAGATTCCCAGTCGCAGTCGTCACGTTGGGCCCGTTGCCTGCACATACACACACCCATATAATCACATGTGAATGCACCCTCTCTGTGTATGTTCGTGTTCTGTGGTGACCTGGCACATTCGCCGTGCAGCCGGTGGATGTGAGTGCCTCGTCTTCTTTGGAGACGAGTGACGTCTCGGCCCCTTCACCATCAGGCCGGGCGATGGCGGTGGGACTCGCGGCGACCTCACTGGCGAAGGCAAAGCCGCGACTCGACTCCTTCCATGAGCCGGCGCCAACGTCGTACGCGCAGCCGTACGCACGACAGTGCTTGGCTGGGCAGGAGGCCCGACAGCAGCCGAGAGCGCGAGGAGCGTAGTCGGCAGCGATGTGGGCAAAATTGAGGACTTCGGGCGACCCACCCTCAGCCACACTGCACACATAGCACTCGCATTCGAACGTTCCCATCCATCCATTCAGCCATGCAGCGTACCGTCTCATGTTTTGCAGGAGTGTCGTGGAGTAGTCGTAATGTTGGCCCTGGCTGTACCACAGAGACACCACTTGAGGCGGCGTGAAGTACGAAGGAACCAAAGCAGCAGAGAACGACACGCCCGCCGGGTACTTGAGGTCACACCCCACCTACACACACACACACACACACACGCACAGACGCACGCGAGACAGACACGCAGTGAGTGCAAAGTGGGCGGAGTTGTCTGACTGACTTACCTCTGCCTGTATGCTGCACCAGCGCATGGCCTTGTCCTGCGTCGACTTGGCTGCCTTGAATGCCGGCAGGCCGTGTCGCTTCGTCAGGTTGGCGTGCAGCCTAACGAAGTCGTCTGTCACATCCTCGTATGTGGCGTCCGTGTCAGCCATGAGACTGTCCGTGCGATGCCCCAGCTCGATGAAGGATGATGGTGGAGAGATGCCGTCGACGAGCCGCAGCACGTCTTCGTACGACATGGGCTGGGAGGAGCTCGAGACATGGGCGTCGGGCTCCGCGGCCCGCAGCATGCCTCCGACAGTCGCCTTGAGGGCCGATCGTGACACAGTCGGTGTGTCGCGCAGCTCGTCCTGCCACTTCAGCGGGAGACCCAGATCCAGAACGTCAGCAACGGTGCTGCGCAACACATCGCAGGCCACTGGGAGGGGCGGGGAAGTGGCCAGCAGTGACAGCACACTCACCACCAGCACTCGCACCATCGTCATGACTCGGTCGATTGATTGACTGACCACTGCAGTGACTGAGTGAGTGAATCAGCAGTCAATCAGCCAGAGAGAGAGAGAGAGACACGTGTCTAGCTGTGCTGCAGTGTCTCAGTCTCTTGTCGATCACGCGGTACGTACACGTGTACGTACCTACCGATGTGTCTGTCAATATAGGCAGGCGAACAGCCGAACGTTGGACCATTCAATCAGGTGCTTGAGCTTGATTGACTCTGCGATTTGACGCGCACAATGACGGCCACCCACCCGTTGGCTTAAAACTTGACTGTGAATGAAATGCCCTGTCCGTCCACAAACCAATTACCATGCAGATGCCATGCATCTCGAGCTCAGTGGTGTCCCTCGCCATCCACTCACGCAACGACCACCCGCCTCCCCTCCCGTCCGTCCGTCACTCCCTCCCTCTCTCAGTCCCCTCAGTCACCCTGATCCACTCATCATTCACTCATCCAGGCCACCCACCTGCATCGCATCACTACCGAGCGCACAGCATGCACCGCCCACCCTCCCGCCATTCAGCAATCTTCATTCATTAGGCAGTCACGTGAAGTTCCCGCTCGCTCGATCAATGCTCATCGACGGTCGTAAGATCTGAACAAACGCACACACACGCGCGCGCGCACAGAGAAACAGAGAGAGAGAAGAGGGTGCGTCTGCATTCGTTGCATTCATTAGTTTGGTCCATGTGCGTGTGCAGGGGCAAGTAGGCATACGCAGCCAGCCAGCAAGGTGTTGTAGATGATGCGATGCCGTGTTGGCCATGTAGGTAACGTAGGTAGGGTGGAGAGGGTGTTGTTGCACTCATGCAGTCAGTGATGATGAACTGGCTGCCCTGGCTCATCGCATGATGGTGGGATGGGTTAGTTAGGTAGAGGTGGATGGATGGATGGACTAGGCAGGCAGGCAGGCAGGTAGTACTGATCTATCATCGGTCAGATCAAGTCTCTGCCCACACCGGACGGACAACACAGCTCTCTGCTGGCTGCCTCACCCCCCCAACTCACCGTGAGCGCGATCTGTCCCTGCGCGAGTACCGATCACGATCACGACGGCGGTCGTAGTCGTCATCGCGGTTGCCCCGGTCACGGCGGCGGTCATAGCTCCTGATGGAATGGACAGACACCACACGCAGGTACGAGAGAGAGAAACATCGACCGTGTCTTGTTGTCGCTGCCCTGTGAGTCGTGGGGGCATACCGGTCGTCATATCTGTCGCGGTCGTCGTATCGGTCTCGGTCTGAATGGCGGCGACGGTCAGGACTGCACAAACAAAACACATACACACGCGCACGGAGCCCACCATGGAGCTCAGTCAAAGTGCCTCCCATCCATCCGCCAACACCACAGCACAGCACTCACCTGTCGTCGCGGTATCTTCTGTCCCTATCCCTGTAGTCACTCACACGCAATGCATTCGCAACCAAAGCACCACACACTTGTCGATTGTGTGTATCGGCTCGGCTCCAGTCAGTGTCTGTCTGTCTGTCCATGCCATGTGTGTGCCATGCCTGCCTGTCATAGTCGTTGTCGCGGCGCCACCACTCACGATCCCGATCCCGATCACGGTCCCGGTCCTGCACATAGTATTTAACACAACACATACCCGCAAGCAACAAGACAGACAGACGGACAATGCACGCATGCATCGCATCCGCAGCAAGATCAGATCCCCTGTGTGGTGCAGTCTGTCTGGTCATCCCACCCCTCCCTCCAACCCTACTGACACGTCGGAATCCTCCGCCACGGTCAGGGTCGTCCCGTGCCCAGGCCCGCTCTCTGTCGTGCTTCATGTCCAGCCGGTCCATCAGCATCTCGCGGGCGCGGCGACGGTCGTCGGGCTTCTCGGCAAATATCAGCAGACGCTCCTTGCCGTCCTTGCTGCACAACACAAGGACCGATGGATGGACAAAGAAAGGTAGGTGAGGCTGTCACTTGGAGTGCGTGATGCCATGTGTGTATGGTATGGTTGCTCTGCTTACCCGCCAGTGTCGATGAAGCAGAAGGTGCCCGTGTCCTTCTCGAGGGCGCGGAGCGCCGTGCCCTTGGAACCTGTGCAGACGCCGGCACTCCAGGATGTTCCTGTCCTATCCCATCGTCCTGTCTGTCTGTCTGTCTGTCTCTCTGTCTGTCTGTCTGTGTGCGCTCCTTTACCAGTCACCCACGCGACGTCATTTTCTGCTATGTCCACCACAGTGACGTCCTCCCTGACAAAAGAAAAAGCGACAAAATCCACCACTATTTATTTGCTGGCTGGCAGCTCGGTCCGCCCCCCCCGCCTACCTTTCCTCGACATCCACCTTGACGTTCTTCTCCCTCTGCGTGCACAGCCACTGCAGGTACTCCAGGCAGCGGCGGCGCTGCTTACGAGTGCCTGACATGACAGACACACATACGAACGACCACAGACACACACACACATAGAGCACTTACGCCACCTTGACAATTGCCCGTCGGTGTGGTTGTGGTGTTTGTCGTGTGTGTGCAGTGTCTGTCCACCCACCACAGAGGTGTGCCGCGAATCCGACGTACTCGAGTATGCAGCTGGCAGCCGTGGCCAGCTTGCGGCGGGTGGCGCCGCCCTTGCCTGCACGATGGATGCGATCGACGCGCACAGAAATAGATAGACACACAGATGGATGAATGGATGTGTGGAATGGCCATATGCATGCACCCGCGCGTCTGGTGTGTGCCAATGTGTGCACACCCACCCAGTGCGTATGAGAAGTCGTTTTCGGGTATGATGTAGACGTCGGTGCCGAACCCCTCTTCGTCGCTGGTGTGGGTCTCGAGACGGCTCGTGAAGTATCCCGGCAGCTTCTGCTCAATCGCACTCATCACCTACACCACACACCCACACGCACAGCCACCCACATCCCCTCACACACGTGTGTGTGGGCACGGCACGTACCTTGAGTTCCGCGCCCCGCCTGCCGCGTAGCTCTCCAAAGATGGCGAGGACTTCAAACTCCCGCTGGTCGTAGTCCTTGTCGGCGCGCTCGTCGGACTCGCGCCGCACGAAGAACATGATGACGCCCCACTCCTTCTCCATCTCACGCAACACAAACCCGTCCTTGCCTGCACATACCAACCACCCAGCCAACGACCACCAGCATGTCATGTGTAGCTGTGTCTGTGTCTGTCTGCTCGTCTAGTCTCGTCTCTCATTATCTCCCTACCGGTGACGTATGCGACGCAGGTCATGGGCACCTCGAAGGTCGTGATGTCGTCCCGCTCCTCCTGCTCGCGTGTGAGTGTGACGGTGCCCCTGCGCTGTGCCTTGACGAGTGTGATGTAGGTGACGGCCTTGTCGCGCTCCCTGTCCGTCCCGCGCACCTCCATCGTCATGTCTGTGAGGGTCGCAGACGCACACACGCGCACACACACACACACACACACACAGAGGCATACACAGGCACACAGATGCGCCCACCTCTCCCCTTAACATAACATGCAAAGAGTGCGTCCTCTGTGCTGATGCGGTCTGCAGCCACCCACCCACTCGCTGCTCACCCACCCTTCTCGTTGATCTCGAGGCTAGCTCCCGACACACGCATCAGTTTCTGCCACCCAGCACAGATCAGCCCACATTCCACAGTCTCTGCATCGTCCTGGTAATACCAAGGGTTACCTCCTTGGTGCGCCCTTGGCGGCCGATGAGGAAGGCTGAGTCGGCGTCGTCTATCGGAATGGACGTCACATCTCTGTCTCTGTCCCTGTCCCTGTCCCTCGACCTGTCCCTGTCCCTGTCCCTGTCCCGAGATCTATCCCTATCGCGGCCGTTCATGTTCCTCAAGCAAAAGCGCTGTCACTCCCGTCTATCAGATCAGCTCTCTGTCGGTCTCGGGGTGCGTTGGTGCTCCTGCTGTGTGGTGTGTGTGCTGCCGCCCCTCACTCACTCTTCCACCTTTCCTCAGTGCTGCACCTTGGGCGAGATGAACCAACCACTGATGGTGTGACGCACCTGCCAACCTGGGACAAATATGGAGAAGGAGAGAGACATACAGAGAGAGAGGGAGGAAGGACAGTCAAGCGGACACACAATGCAGGCAGGTAGTCTCCTGCCTGTAAGTGAATTGAGTGGAGTTTTTGCCTTCTTGCCTTACGAGGGCTGCTGGGTTCTTATGAGGGAGGCGCGACAACAGGCTCCACGAAGATCTCACGCCTTCCGGGAGGGCTCTTCGGTCGTTTCATAGCTCGCGGCGCTGCGAGCTCCGACTTCTCTACCGACTTCTCTCTCTCGTCTGATCTCTGTGAATCTTGACGCTGAGCGTATCTGTTGACGCTTAGCGTATCTGATGACGACGTTGAGTGTCTAGCTGTTGACTGCTCTATGCCTCGGACAACCGAACTCGGTCATTTCAACATGCTGCTCAAGATGCGACTGCTCCTCTTCGTGTACACCACCCTCGCGCTGACCCTCTCTCTCACCGCCGCCTCTTCTCCCCCAGCCTCCAGCGTGTTCACACCCACAGCAGAGTGCTCGGCGCAGTCCTACGGAAGACTGGTTACCTCTCTCTGCCAGGACTCCATCTTGCGCCGCACCGAGAGCACACGGGAGAGTGGCAAAGCCCTCCAGTCGGAGATCAGGACGACCTTTACGCCGGCTGATGAATCTCCCCCATTCTCGGTGTGGCTCCAAGTGACGACTGAGAGGCCGGGAGGGACCGCTGGGAGAGAGGGGGGGGGGGGGGGTTGGGTG